TTCCTGCAAAACCTTGCACTTGGCAAAGCAGTTTGTGAAAATAACAGGACTAACGTGAAGCTATTCATCGTCTGTCAGTCTGCTGTACTGTAGTCTGTCAGTTTATAGCCTGTCAGTCTGTTGTACTGTAGTGTGTCAGTTTATAGCCTGTCAGTCTGTTGTACTGTAGTGTGTCAGTTTATAGTCTATTGTACTGTAGTGTGTCAGTCTGTTGTACTGTAGTTTGTCAGTTTATAGCCTGTTGTACTGTAGTGTGTCAGTTTGTAGCCTGTCAGTCTGTTGTACTGTAGTCTGTCAGTCTGTTGTACTGTAGTTTGTCAGTCTGTTGTACTGTAGTATGTCAGTTTATAGTCTGTCAGTCTGTTGGACTGTAGTGGACTGAGTGTTACTGTGGTGCTGGAAGTTCTACCACCCAGGGACTCCTGAGTGGTGTTGCAGGATAAGCGCTGGTGCAAAACACAAAGTCAACAGTTTACAGCCGTCAGCTGCTCCTCAGAAACCCTGTACAGGGTTGCTATGAGTTGGAATCGACTGGACGGCATTGACTTGACAGCACTTAACAACAGGGGTCACCCATGGTGACAGGTTTCTGCTACGCTTCCAGAATAAGGCAGATTTGAAAAAGCAGAGGCAGATTACTTCTGAATGTGGAACCAGTGAAAACCTTATAAACAGCAGCAACAAATAGAGGGCTGGAAGATAAGCCAAGCCCCTCAGGTTGGAAAGATTCAAAATACAACTTGGAAGAGCTGTTTCCTCAAAGTAGAACAAGTAGAGTTGACCTTGATGACTCAAACGCAGTAAAGCTTTTGAGATTTTTATTTGCTGATGGGGCACAACTCAAAATAAGGAGAAACAACTACAAACACCCATTACAAATCAGAGCAGGGAATGTAGGTAGTATGAATCTAGGAAAATTGGAAGCTGTCAAAAATTAAATAGAATGCATAAAGATAACTATCGTAGGCATTAGTGAGATGAAACGGACTGTTATTGGCCATTATCAATCAGACAATCATATGGAACAAATTCAAGAGGAATGGCGTCGCATTAATCATCAAAAAGAATATTTTAAGATCGATCTTGAAATATAATGTTGTCTGTGCTAGGATAACATCAGTAAACCTACAAGGAAGATCATAGCCTTCAGTATGAGTTGTATTTCAAAGAAAGGAAACAAAAGTCCTCACACCTGGACCAATAAACAACATCATGATAAATGGAGAAAAAAACTGAAGCTGTCAAAAACTCCATTTTGCTTGGATCCACTATCAACACTCAATGGAAGCAGCAGTCAAGAAATCAAACGACATATTACATTAGGCAAATCTGCTGCACAAGACCTCTTAAGTGTTCAAGAGCAAAGATATCAGTTTGAGGACTAAAGTGCACCCGACCCAAGCCAGGGTATTTGCAATAGCTTCATACGCATGTGAACGTTGGACAATGAATAAGGAAGACTTTAGAAGAATGGATGCATTTGAGTTACGTGTGTTGGAGAAGAACATTGAAAGTACTATGGACTACCAGAACAATGAACAAAGCTGTATTGGAAAAAGTACAGCCAGAAAGCTCCTTAGAAGCCAGGACAATATTTTGGACATATTGTCAGGAGACACCAGTTCCTGGAGAAGAACATTATGCTTGGGAAAGTGGAGGGTCAGAGAAAAAGAGGAAGACTCCCAATGAGACAAGACTGGCAAAGAGGAAGCAGCTATGGACTCAAGATTAACAACTGCAAGGATGGTGCAGGATCAGCGAGTGTTTCAGTCTGTTGTGCATCGGGTCACTAACAATAACAACAACAACACGCAAAGATACGACTGGGACAAGTCACTCAAAATTTATGCAACTTTGTAAGCAGAATGATAACACGAACAATAATCATGGCTGGGCATTGCCTTGTGAATATTTACAGAAGCTTTATTCATAATAGCTATGAGTTGGCAACAACCCAGATATTCCTCAAAAGACCAAGTGTTAAACAATCTTTGGTACACCCATACTATGGAATGTCACTGAGCATTAAAAAGGCACAAACTTGGTACACACACAAATTGGAATTATGCTGAGTGAAAACAGCCAATCCAAAAAAATTACACACAGTATAGCGATTTGAACCCACTGCTGCTTGGAGGGAGAAAAGACATGGCGAACTGTTCCCGTAAGATGTCATCGTAGGAAGTCCCATGGGTAGTTCTACTGGGTCCTAGAGGGTTGCTATGAGACATAATCAACTCTATGGTACTCAACAACATAGTTCTATTTACACAACATTGTTGAAATCACAAAATTAGAGAAGGGAGAAGAGACTGGTGGTTGGCAGAGATTAGGGGAGACAAGGGCTCTAAGTATGAAAGAGTAGTACAAAGGATCCTTGGGATAGAACTCTTCTAATATTTTGACTGTCTTGCTGATCAAACAACTCTATGCATGATAAAGTTGCATAGAATTAAATTTATACATATGTAATTGAGAACATACAAAACTGGTGTCTGAATATGGTGGATGGACAGAATCAGTGTCAATTTTACTATCACTATGCAAGATGTTACCAGTGGAGGAAACGGGGTGACTGGTGCACTAGATCTCTGGATGATTTCTTTCAACTGCCTGAGGATGTACAACGATCTCAAAATAATACTTTTCTTAAAGGCACAAGAACAACAAAGTGGAATTGCTGGCTGGTGAACGCTCAGACCTGAGTACCGGAGAAAGTGCCATCTGTCACATTTAGAACTGTGCATGGCAGGCGGACACTTCTCCAGGAGGGAAACGCAGGTGTACGTGCTCATATTACATGTTAAGATAAACGTGAAAAGGCACATATCTGTGCAACTATCCGACCAAGGCTTTTTCCTTTTCTACTGAGATTTATAATTCTATTTCCTCTATTCCAATTCCCTTTGCAAATGAACCTTCTCAAGCTCCACTTTTTACGGGCATCATTTCCCTATTTATTAGTCACACAAGTGTGGTGGGAAGACCTGTTGAAGGAAAACAACCGGTTTCTTAAAAATGCAGTGTATCCTTTTGGGCTAGAGACGTCAGATATTAACATAGCAAGGGAGACAGGGTCTTTCTAGGAGCTCCTGGAAGGATCTATCTCAACTGACAACAAGGAAACAAATTTTTCTCTCTTCTAGAGCTCTGCCAATCCATCTCCTTGGGGGGTTTCTTCTTTATGGCCGACCTTTCGGTTCACCAAACATGATGTCCTTCTCCAAGGACTGGTCCTTCCAGATGATATGTCCGAAGTATGAGAGACGAAGTAATTAGAGCAATTGTAAGTGGCACTGTATTTATTATTTCCACGTATTCATTGTTAAGGAGCTCTGCTAGCATAGTGGTTACGAATCGGGCTGTGAACCTCAAGGTCAGCAGTTCGAAACTACCAGCTGTTCTGTGGGAGAAAGATGAGGCTTTCTGCTCCCGTAAAGATTTACAGCCTCGGAAACCCTGTACAGGGTCGCTAAGGGTCGGAACCGACTCCACGGCACATAACACAACAACAAGAGCTCTGGTGGTGCAGTGGTTACGAATCGGGCTGTGAACCTCAGGGTCAGCAGTTCGAAAGTAGCAGCTGTTCCGCGGGAGAAAGATGAGGCGCTCTGCCCCGTATAAAGATGGACAGCTTTGGAAACCCTGTACAGGAACCAACTCCACGGAACTCGGTAGCAACAAGCTGATACCAATGGCGTCCTGGTGGGGCGCTGTAGCAGCCGCAAGGTGACCAAAGCCACCAGGCGCTCCTCGGACACCCTAGACAGGGCCGCTGTGAGGCCAACAACAGCGCCCAGTACCCCTGCCTCTGCCCCTGCCGTGGACTTGCTTCCGAGCGGCTGCTGCCTGGAACCACCGACCTTCAGGTTAGCAGTCCAGTGCTTATCGTACGGCGTCACACCGAGACCGCACGAATGGGGGTTGTTGCTGCTTGGGGGGAAGCGTCCCTGTAGAGGGTTCCCAAGATGTGGCTGGTGAGCTTGACCCGCCGACCCTGCGAGCCAACCAACTTGCGGTCGGGCGCTCGAGCCTGAGCAGCTGAACGTGCGGGAGAGAACGGAGAAGGGCCGCTCCGAGACCCAAGAGGAAACTGGGAGAGTTCTGAACGCGAAAGGCAGGGGACAAGCTGCCCCAAAGTTCGCTAGACTTTCAACTGCGGGCACTCGGCAAGTGTTCCTCAATCAAAGGGTGAAAACAGTCCAAGGCTGAGGTGGACACTGAGCCGTCCACGAAACCACCCAGGTTAATACTCGTGCCAGGACACCAAACCCTCACTGCCCAAACACCGCTCTTTTCTGTCTGAAAAAGATATTCTTGACTGCAAATCTGAAAACTTGACAGGAAAGCAACCAGCTGGCCACCACTCGCACGCCTCAAATTCCCTTCCGGTCCCGGCCGAATGGGCCGAGCGCCTCTGCACAAACAACACTCTCTCATCAGACTCAGCACGCCTCAGAGCACCCGGGGGCAACGCGGATATCCCGCACCGGGAAAGGCAAGGTCTACTCTCACCGGCTGCCCTCGCCGTCCCCTCCCGGCTCCGCGCGCCGCCTTCCGCTGTTCTGGAGAACCATAGCGCCGCTCCGACCAAGGTCTCTAGAAACTTTCTTGACAGGAATTTGGCGCGCTCCGATTAACTCTCGCGAGAGACCGGAAGCCCACGCACCGAAGCTGTCCAATCCACAGGTGCGACGCGACCCGCCCCCGCTAAGAGCCAATCATCGACGGACTCCGAGGAGCGGCGGCCCGTCAGTCCAAGAGGTGGAGCGTGCGCAGGCGCGCGTCCCGCCCCCTGAGGGCCGATTGCTTAAAGAGCCCGAGGGGAGGTGGACCGTTAGGGACTAAGGTTAAAGTGTGTACAGTCGCGTGCAGCGCACCCGGGGTCTGGCCGGGGACGATATTGCGGGCTGTGGCCGGGCGGGAAATGTCAGACAGTCCCCGCGCTGCGGACCCAAGATGCGGTCGCCGCCCCAGGCGTCCGGGGCTCAGAAGCAGCAATGGCGCCGTCGGTGTCGAAGCAGCGGTCCGAGATTGGAGTTGGGGAGTTTTTGCGGCGGGCGCTAGCCCAGTACCTGCGCCTTCTGCAGCTCTACCCGGTGCTCACCAAGGCGGCCACCAGGTCGGCGGGACTCCGGCACGGAACGTGGAGGACCCCACGGCTCCATTAGCCCGGGGCTCCGTCAGCCCATGGGAAGGGAGTCAGCTTGGCGGGGGGCACCTGCGAGCCCGAGGCTCTGTCATCCCGGGGCAGGGGTAGCGGCCAGTCCAACGCACAGCCCGTGACCTTGTCAAGCAGGGAATGAGCAGTCCCGGTGCGTGGGACGTGATCAGCCTGGGGCACAGTTCCACACACCCGAGGTTTTTGGTTCCTAAGGCAAAACTGCCACGTATCAAAATGATCCTTCAAAGCCCCTAAATTCCCTAAAATCCCAGTGTATACAGTTCGTGTATATGCGCTCCACAGTATGAACGTGAAGGGATCAGACTAAAGATATCCCAAGTGAAAGATGTCTTACAGTTGAGCTGTCTGCCTTGGAGGTGAATAGGGCTTGGATTGGGAAGTGTAACGGCCTGCGTGTCAGCAGTTTGCTGTCTTAATCCTAAATCTGGCCAACCTTATAGTTTATCGGTGTGAGCATTTCACTAGAGTCAGGCAGCTGCCTGGTGACATTGAAAGGTTGGACCGAGTGGAAGGTGTTGAGAAATTTGTTGTCTTTGGAGACAGCTTTGCATTTGCCAGCCCAAAGCGCTGCTCTTTAACTTTCAGTACTAATCTTTTTGTGAGACATCTCCAGTTTTCATTAGTCTTAATTTTTTTTACAAGTACATCTCTTACCACTAATTCAGCAGTTTGTAAACATATACGGAGTGCTTTCTGTGTTCTGCACATACAGCAATGATCACAGTCCCTACACACACACGGAGCTTACGTTCTAGTGAAGAACTGAACCAAAAGCAAATATATATAATAGTCAGGAAAGCTTTGTTGTTTTGTTTGTATGTTTTCTGAGGAGGTGACATTTGAACTGAGGCCTGAGTAAATGAAGGGAACCAGCCATACTTGAACTGAAGCAAAAGCTAATCAGCAGAGACACAGAAACAGACAGTGCAAAGGTCCTGAGGGAATAGAAAGAAGTTCTGTATCACTGGAGGAAATGAACAGTGAGTACAGGAATGATGGAAAAGGAGAAGTAGCCAACGACAGATCAAAAAGGTCCTTGTGGTTCTTACTAAGAATTTTGGCATCTGCAGACTGAGCCATGGAGGAGCTGTCTCTACCTTTTTATCAAATTAAATGATAATTGCAATAAGAAGATACATATTCAGTTGTAGTAAGTGAGACAGAAAGATCCCGTATGCATTTTGCCGATATCTCCCAGTGCTAGCATCTTTAAAAAATTATACCTCACGAATGGAGTAAGAAGACAGGGACTAAGGGGTCTTTTGTTTACGGCTTTGAAATATTTGCGTGTTTGTTTTTCCCGTCTCCTCCATAAAAGGCGGTCTGGAGGCATAGTGTGTTAAATAGTGTCTGATAACCACAAAGTCGGCAGTTCAAGCACACCCACCAATTGCTTCTTGAAAACCCTATATAGGGTTACTCTGAGCGAGAACCAACTGGACAACACTTAGCAATCACAACCACAAAATTGGCAGTGTGACTCCACCAGCTGCTCCATGGAAGAGAGATGAGGTGTTCTGCTCCGTAGAGATTTACAGCCTTGGAAACTCTCCAGGTCGTCTTGATGGCACGCAACAACACTTACAACCAGGATATTGACCTGGATACGCAGCCAGATCCATCGCTTGCCAAGCAGGCCATTCTGACTCCTAGCAACGCTGTAGGACAGAGTCACTTCTGACCATAGCAACCCTGCATAGGGTTCCCGAGGAGCAGCTAGTGAGTTTGAACTGCCGACCTTGAAGTTCAAACCAACTTTGCAGGCCAGCGCATTAACCTACAGTGCCACACCAGGATTCCATAGGACAGAGTGGTTGTTGGTGGTTATGTGCCGTGAAATCGGTTCCAACTCATAGCGACCCTGTACAGGGTTTCCAAGGCTATAAATCTTTATGGGAGCAGAAAGTCTCATCTTTTTCCCACAGAACAACTGGTAGTTTCAAACTGCCTAACTTGCGGTTCACAGCCTGATTCGTAACCACTAGGATACCAGAGCAGACTGTTTAATTGGGTTTCTAACCTTGTAATGTTTATAATCTTGGTGATAGATATGATGCTGGAGAACGCATGATAGAATTCTACAAAATCAGTGATTTGTTCATTTCAAATACCTTCTTTAGATAGCTCAAGACACAACTATACACATGGACCTCACCAGGTGGAATACAAAGAAATCAAATTGACTGCATTTGCGTAAAGAGACGATGGAAAACTCCATATCATCATTCAAAATGAGGCCAGGGACAGATGGTGAAACAGACCATCAATTACTCATATGCAAATTCATATTGAAGCTGAAGAAAATGAAAACAAGTCCACGAGAGCCAAAATATGACCTTGAATATATCCCACCTGGATTTAGAGATCATCTGAAAAACAGGTTTGATGCATTAAACACTAAAGACAGAAGAGCAGAAGAGTTGTGGGATGACATCAAGAACATCATACATGAAGAAAGCAAAAAGTCACTGAGAAGACAAGGAAGAAGGAAAAGGTCAAAATGGATGTCAGAAGAGACACTGAAACTTGCTCTCCAGCCTAGAGATGCTAAAGCAAATGGAAGAAATGAGGAGGTCCAAGAGCTGAACAGAAAATTTCAAAGAACAGCTGGAGAAGATAAAGCCAAATATTACAACAAAATGTGCAAAGATCTGGAATCAGAAAACCAAAAAGGAAGAACATGTTCAGCATTTCTCAAGCTGGAGGAACTGAAGAAAAAATTCAAGCCATGACTTTCATTATTGAATTTTCTAGGTAAATTATTGAATGATGCAGAAAGCATCAAGAGAAGATGGAAGGAATACACCGAGTCACTGTACCAAAAAGAAATGGTTAATGTTCAGCCATTGCAAGCAGCAGCATATGATCAAAAGCCAATGATACTGAAGGAGGAAGTCCAAGGTACATTGAAGGAATTGGCAAAGAACAAGGCACCAAGAGTTGATAGGATAAAAATGGAATTTTTCCAAGAAAGTGAGACAACACAGGAGGCACTCACTCATCTCTGCCAAGAAATTTGGAAGACAACCATCTGGCCGACAGATTGGAAGAGATCTGTATTTGTGCCCATTCCAAAGAGAGGTGACCCAATGGAATGCGGAAATCATCGAACGATCTCTTTGCTATCCCATGCGAGTGAAGTTTTACTAAAGGTAGTACAGAAACTGCTGCAAGCATACATTGACAGAGAACTTCCAGAGGTTCAAGCTGGATTCAGAATATGACGTGGAACGAGGGATATTATAGCTGATGTTTGATGGATCTTGGCTGAAAGCAGAGAATATCAGAAAGATGTTTACCTGTGCTTTATTGATTACACAAAGGCTTTCGATTGTGTGCATCATGACAAGCTATGGACAACATTGAGAAGTATGAGTATTCCGGAACACTTAATTGCGCTCATGAGGAATCTGTACCTGGACCAAGAGGCAGTTGGTCAAACAGTACATGGAAACACTGGATGGTTTAAAATTAAGAAAGGTGTGTGACAAGGTTGTGTTCTTTTACCATACTTATTTAACCTGTGTGCTGAGCAAATCATCCAAGAAGCTGGGTTCTAGGAATCGAAATTGACTTGATGTTACTTTAACAACAGCAAGTCAGAACTGACTCCATGGCACATGTTGTTGTTGTTGTTGTTAAGTGCCGTCGAGTCGGTTCCGACTCATAGCGACCCTGTACAGGGTTTCCGAGGGTGTAAATCTTTGCGGGAGTAGAAAGCCTCATCTTTCTCCCGCAGTTAAACACCTCCAATTTTTACTGAAGGCGACTGCCTCATTTTTCTCCCTTGGAGTCATGTGTGTGTTTAAACGGCTGACCGTAACTTTATAATCACCACTTGAGCACTTTATACCTTGCACCACAAGGGCCCCTTGCTATGGCTGTAATAAACCACATTTCCCATTTTGCTTGTACCCTGTGTGTGTCAAATTCGGTGTTTCTCTTTAGAAACTTGTAGCTTTGACAAGGACTTAACTACAGCCATGCACAGGTGGTTCTCTGAGCAGCCTGCTAATTTGCATTCAGGAAGGGGACACGCTCCTGCTGACCACTCCTGTTGTTTGATTACCACTCTGTCCACAGTGGGTTTTTGTCGGCACTTGGGAACTTCCTGGCCCAGATGATTGAGAATAAGCGGAAAAAAGAAAACTCGCGAGATTTTGATGTCAGTGGTCCTATAAGATATGCCATTTACGGGTAAGTGTCACTACGGCTGCTTTACCTGGGAGGAACACTAAGTGCTAACAACAACCAATTTTTTGGAATAACAGTTTGGAAAAATAATTTTTAAATTACTTTTTATTTTAAATTTTAATGATCAACAGCACTGACCTAATAGTAATCATGGGGAAAGTCAGAATGGTATATTAGAGTTAATCTGCACCGATTCACTCATCTTAAGAGTTGAACGTGGATTTTTTTTTTGTATTGGGTGGGAAGTGACGGTCCTAATTGGGCTAGGAGCAAGGACAGATAGCTCACTGGAGTGTAAAATCAGACTTCATAACTCAAAGACCCTGAAACTGATTTGGCTCATGGAAGAAAATAAACAAAACTCAGACCCCAAAAGTGATGAGCTAGTTTGTATTGTTATTTTCATAGTGCATATATCCAGAACAGAAATACAAAGGTATCCTGAAAAGCATCCAACTTCTAAACCACTTCCTGAAGCATTCCTGATTAACACCCAGTATGAGCTACCTGTCTAACAATGTGTTGTAGATGTTGAAGTCTTCTCTGCAGCTAATGAATTTTTTAATCAAAGTTTGGGGAATTCAAAATACAGGAAACAGGAAGTAGAGAAGTCGTGGGAATGGAGTAGGCTAATGTTTGTGGGCTAGACAGACTCTCCCTGTTGCTGGAGGAAATGACAGAAGAAGCATGCTGACTTTAGTTTTCATGGTTTTATTCTTAATATATGATGGGGCTTCAAAAAGTTCCCTCGTATTGTAAGCAATAAGTATCCATGATGAAAGGTAGAATGTGTATCAAATTCATACAAGTGACTTTCTAAAATCACACAAAACTTTTCCTATTCCCAAGATTCTTAAGGCCATTTAACTAACATCTTTTAGTAGAACCCAAAGCCGTGTGACCCTATAGGACACAGTAGAAGTGTCCCTCAGGGTTTCCAGGAGTAGAAAGTCTCATCGTCTATCCTCAAAGCTGCCGGTGCATTTGTGCTGCTAACCTTGGGCTCAGCAGCCCAGTTTAACCCATTACACCATCAGAGCTCTTCTTATGGTAGAGCAGAACACCAAACAAACAAGAACCACTTGTTGAAAGCGTATTTCAAAGCCAGAAACAAAAGACGCCTGCGCCCCTGCCCTCTCCTTATTGCCAAGTTATCGGGCACTGTGGACCTACTGTCTCAGTAGACATGGGGCTCAGTTGCCTCCCAAGGACAGCCGCTGTGGAATAAACAGTAGTAATGCACACCAGCCTGTGTGCACACCCTGGAGAGTTTGATGAGAAGCGATGTGCTTGTTTATCACTGAGCACCTTCTACACTCCAGACCTTATTCCGGATACTGGAGATACAGTACTGAATGAGGTAGAGATGTGCCCCTGCCTTGTGGCATTTACCTTCTAGGAGGTGAATAAACAGATGAAATCACTACAAACAAACAGAAGCTGCCTCTGACTCATAGCAGCTCTGTAGGAGAGGGGGTTCTGTGGCTGGACCTTGTGGTTAGCAGCCCAGCACGTAACCCACGGTGCTACCCGGCTTCTTCAAGATCATGATATGAAGTGATAAATGCAATGAATAAAATCAGAGGGCCCTGGAGTAAGTGGCTGGAGATGGCTGCAAATGTTGGCTAGGGCAGTTGGGAAAGGCCTCCCTGAGAAAGGTATGAGAGCCAATAATGTTGACAAGAAGCAGACAGTAATGCTGGGGGTGGGGTTGGGGGGAAGTACTGTGGACAAAGGGAACAGCAAGTGAAAAGAATGCCAAAAGCACAATTTTCTCATTCCATACATGGGTCCGTTCGAACACCAAGGTCGGCAGTTCGAACCCACCAGACACTCCTAGGAAACCCTATATAGGGCCGCTATGAGTCGGATCCTACTCGCTATTGCTTAACAACATCAACATGCATAGCTGGGTAGTCAGTGTTGAGGTGGAGTTCAGGACGGACTTGGGGTTTGGGGGTAAAGCTGGACCAGAGAGAAATCCATCCAGAGAACCGCAGTCTGGGTCACACCCAGTGCGGGGGCCCAGGTTCTTCTTCACAGGGCCGCTGAGTCACTTCTTCTACCTCTTCATGGAGCGCTGGATCCCCTCGGACAGCCCCCTGGCAGGCGTCAGGAGGCTCCTTCTGGACCGCCTTGTCTTTGCCCCAGCCTTCCTGTTCTTCTTCTTCTTCGTCATGAACTTGCTAGAGGTGCGTCTCTGCTGCGGGCCCCGTGAGAGCTGTGCACTGAGTTAGAGATTCTGAACCCAGCATCTGTGTGTAGGGTTCACAGGGTCTAAGAACATTTTCTATACGCTGATTGAAATTAGCAGTACCTACTGCCCCCCACCCCCCATTAGCATTCACAGCTGTTTGGGAATCACTTATCATTTTTTAGTCTATATCTCAAAATACCTTTTATGCTCATCATTCCTGAGAGATTTCCACTTGTTGGATCTACCATTAGACCTTATCACTTAAGGTAAAGAAGCATGCAGGCTAGCCTACTGCTGAATATTTTAATGACGAATGTACTTGGTTTTTCTCTGTAATCATAAACGTATTGTTTTATATATTACAAATCTTTACAGGCATGCATCAGATACTGTGGCTTCAGTCCCAGAGCACCACACTAAAGCAATAATTGAAATGAAGCAAGTCACATACAATTGTATTTACACTATACTATAGTCTGATAGCTCTTATAGCATAGTGGTTACAAATAGGGCTGCGAACCGCAAGGTCAACAGTTCAAAACTACCAGCTAGTCTCTGGGAGAAAGATGAGGCGTTCTGCTCCCATAAAGAGTTACAGTCTTGGAAACCCTGTGTGGGGTCGCTGTGAGTCAGAACCGACTCCATGGCACATAACAACAACAACAGTCTATTAAGACTCCTGGTGTGGCACTGTGGGTTAATGCACAAGACTGCAAAGCCGTTTGAACTGCAGGGTTGGCAGTTCAAGCTCCCCAGCTGCTCCTTGGAAACCCGGTACAGGGTCGCTATGGGTCGGAACCAACTTGATGGCACTTAACAACAACAATAGTCTATTAAAAGGATTCCTGGTAGTATAGTGGATTATGAGCTGGGCTGCTAACCCAAAGGTCAGCAGTTCCAACCTACCTGCCACTCCGCAGAAGCAGGCTGAGGCTTTGTACTCTTGTGAAGATTTACGGCCTTAGAAGCCCTATACAGGTTCACTATGAGTCGGAACTGACTTGGTGGCACACAGCCACCATCACCATAGTCTTATTAAAGGAGCCCATGAGGCACTGTGGATCAGCATTGAACTGCTAATCGCAAGCATGATGGGAAGCTCAAGCTCACCAGCTGCTCCTTGGGAACCCCATGCAGGGTCACCGTGAGCTGGAACTGACTCGGTGGCACTTAACAACAACAAGGAACCCCAGGCAAGAAGGCAATGGGATAACATACACAAATCTATGAAAGAAAAAAAAAAATGCCAACCTAAGAATCCTATACCCAGCAAAGCTGTCCCTCAGATACAATGGTGAAATTGTGATGGCTCCTGATAAAGAGAGGTTAAAGGAATTTGTAACTGTCAGATCAGCTTTACAAAAATACTAAAGGATGTTCCTTGGACTGAGGACCAGCAACAGCAGACAACAACCTTAGATTACCATGCATGACAACACCACCCAAAACTCAATCCAGATAAACAAGTATTTAAAGTGAAACAAACCTACTAGACTGAACATAGGGAACCAGAGATATCAATTTATAATGAAGTCAACTACAAAGCAAAAAGAAGGACTAGTGTAGATATAGAACTTTCAGATGGTGAGGAAGTCAAGTAGGTTTCAAAATAAAACATTATTTTTAAAAGGAAACAAATAATAAATTACAGGATAACCTCAAAGAAAATTTACCTCAAAGAGGAAATTCAGAAAGACTTAGTAAAAATTAACAGAAATTAAAATAAAAACCCACAAACAAAATGAACTCATTGCAAAAATTTCTGTGGAACAAAGAAACCAGCAGTACCACACAATACACACACACACACACCCCACAGCAAAAGTACAGCAATCAATTCATACCTGTCTAGACTTACCCTGACTGAATTGATTAAGTGCCCCAGCGACAGAGCAGAATGGATAAGAAAAGAAGGGTCCTGCAATATGCCATCTCTATAATAGATGCCCTAAGTGCCCAGCAACAGCAGAATGGTTAAACAAACTGGTGGATGCCCACAGCGGAATGCTATGCCTCACTGAAGAAAAGCCACCAGTCTGCAAAACACCACACAACATGGATGGACCTGGAGGACTTGATGCTGAGTGAAATTGTTGTTGTTAAGTGCCATGGAGTCGGCTCTGATTCATATTGACCCTGTATGGGGTTTCCATGGAGTGGCAGGTGAGTTTGAACTGCCAACCTTGGGGTTCAGTGCTTATCCTACAGTACCACACCAGGATTGAAATTAGTCAACCACATTAGGACAAATGCTGTATTTGACCGATGTTAGAAAAGTTTGAGAAAAGGTTTTCTTAATTAAGCAATCTATGATGGTTATGGAGTGAGGGGGGAAGAAAAATTATTCATGGGCTAGAGGGTAGACAAATGTTAATACAAGTGACAGGGCAGGGGGTGTACAAAAGAGGGAGGTTAGCAGAGGAAAGATGAAGGTATTGGGAGACACAGGGAAGAAAACAATTGTTAAAGCGAATAGAGGTAAATATCCCCTGTTGATACATGGAGGGGATTGCAGTCATTGTAATGAAACAAAGTTTATGATTTGTTGAATGGAAAAATGATCTGTAAACATTCACTCAATTCACAATAAGAAGTTTTAGAAAAAGTCTCCTGAGTGGCTGTTTCGGTGCACCTATTGGTCTCTCCATGTGTGGAAGGAAGAAGAGTGGTAAAGATTGACGCTTTTCATCAGTCCACTGGACGAATGGAATGTGAACATCAGTCACCATGACTCTGAAGCCAGAAGAACTAGACGGTGCCTACTTACCACCACCAAAGACTCTGAAAGGGATCACGTTAGAGGGTCCCAGATAGAGTGGAAGAAAACGTCGAACAAAACTTGAATTTATTCATTTTTAAAAGGCTGAGCTCACTGGTCAGCAAGAAACTGGAGGAACCTGGCACTATGACCGTGACCACCCTTCCGATGTGAAAAGGAACGTTTCCTCTTGGCTCCATTTTCAGCCAAGCAGTCAATGGGTAGATAAGGGGACAACAACTCTAGGAAGGTCTGCTCACCATGGTCAGTCATTCAAAATCAAAAGGACAACATTTACCTTAGGACAAAGTTGAGAAGGGATGGAAGGCGGGCGGAAAGGAAAAGGAACCAGGGGAGGAAGCAGAATAGCTTTTGTTGCAGGGAGAGAATCACAATCATTGAGATGAAACAGAGTATATGATTTGTTGACTGTAACTTCACCCAATTCACAGTAAATAGTTACAAAGTAAATACTTAAAGTTAAAAAGTTAAAGGTATATAAATAAAATTATTTTTAGTATCTTTCTGAGTATGTTGTTATTAATGTAAGTGCCAAATCATAGCCAACGTGTACAGGTTTTCCAAGACTATCATAGATTTTGGGAACAGAAAGTCTGATGTCTCTGCACAGAGAGGCTAGACTTGTGTTCACAGTCCACCGCTTACGGAGCTGTCACATTGCAGTCTCTGTATGGAAGTTAAGAAAGTCCTGTAATCAGATCCGTCCATCCTTCTGATGGACTTTATTTCAAGGAAAGATGCCCGGTGGTGTGGGTTAGAGCATTGCACTGCTCACCATAAGACACCAGTTCAAAATGAGTTGTTATCAACTTGACAGTGTGGCTATATTTTTTGTTTTGTTTTGTTCCTTAAGTGAAGACAATGGAAATAGTTTCCTGTACTTTCTTTCACGCTAACAGTGTAATTTTGTACATCTCGATACACCTAAAGATAAGAGAAATATTATCCTTTGCTTTTTTTCTAGTACCCTAAAGGTTCTAGAGGCTTAACTTTTGTTTATAGTGGGAGGTAGAGTTCAGTCTTAATTGTTTTCCACTTAGCAAATGGTCTCAGTATTATTGATTGAGCAAGTTGGTGGTGGTGGTGGTCATGGGTCATGAAGTCAGTTCCGACTCATAGCAACCCTGTAAAGGGTTTTCAAGACTGTAACCCTTTATGGGAGCAGAAAGCCTCTGATAGTTTTGAACTGCTGACCGTGAGATTAGCAGCCCAACTTGTAACCACTTGCTTTGAAATGCTGACTTTATTATATTCTTGCTTCCATACACACAGATCTGTTCTTTTTTTCGTTTGTGTGTTTGTGAATTGGGTGAAGGTTTACAGAGTAAATCAATTTTCCATTCAAGATTTCATACTCATTTTGTTTCATGTCATTGATTGCTGCCTCCACTGACAGGTGTGTTCTTTACCTGAACTCTGTCCAGTTCCTGTGATATGTCCTTTACCCCTCCCTTTACTACCAGGCTGTTTTAATTCCCATCAGGTAAAGGAGGACTTTCTTCAGTCTTTTTGGAAGTAAGGATTCCTGTACATTTCTTTTCTTCCAGATATCAGTTTATCAAGATGTCTTTTTTTGGTGGGAAGTACATCAATTTGGGAGATTAATTTGGGAAAAAAATTGATAGCTAAGCAACTAGCAAAGAGTGCTGATTAGTGGGTTACACATTGGGTTGTTAGCAGCTAGGTCAGAAGTTCAAAACCTCCAGCTACTCCATGGGAACTAAGAGGAGGCTTTCTGCTCCAGTAAAGGTTTACAGCCTTGGAAACCCTACACAGGGTCATTGTGAGGGAGAACCAACTTGATGGCAGTGGGGGTTTTTAAGCCACCAGCAGAATGCTTCACATCAGCTCAGCCATGTAAACAACGATCAGGGTGGTAGACAAATGCTCCCCCTCATTTTCCCAGCTAGTTGTTTAGTTCCTTTTACCTTCACTACTTATAAAGTGCATGTAAACCCTGTCTTCTTATAAATGGGACAGAAGGAATGTGAATTCTGTGTTTTTCTAATCGTTGTGCTAAGGTTTGCTGGTGGGCTTCCAATTCTGGTGCCCTTGCTTACAGTTCTGATCAACAGTTTGGGTTGTTTCACCATCTGCATTTTCCATTATTTCTAGAGAAAAGACATGACTGCCTTTTCTGCAAAGATGAGACAAGGTTTCTGGCCAGCATTGCAGATGAACTGGAAAGTCTGGACACCATTCCAGTTCATCAACATCAACTATGTCCCTGTGCAGGTAAGGGCCAGCTGTGCTGGGGGCTTTCCTAACAGCTTTGCTCTTGTTTTGCTTTTAACCATCTGTAGCTTCCCTGGAGCCTTGGTTTTTCACAAATGTTACAGGGAGCTAAAGTAAAATAAAGGCTGACAGGTGTCCACTGGCTTCAACAATGACACTGGTTAACATCAAAAGATCAGTTTCAGTGGATTGATGGGAGCTAATGTTGGTAGTGATTTCAGAGTGGATGGGGAAGTAGAAAATAATTACATAGGCATCTCTTTCACGAAACTTGTGAAAATTGGGGAGAAACAATACGTAGACAAGAGTGAGAATGAACAGGTTTTTAGGCTAGAAGTGTGCCCACATTTAGATGCAGATTTGGAGCTGCTTGTGGAATGAGCAAGTGTGTATAGAGAAAAGAGAAACCATTCTGGTGAGTGGTCACCCCTAATGAGGCATAATGGGATTTCGGGCATAAGCAGGGGCCTACTTAGAAAGAGGATCCTTCTTCACTAGGACAAGAGAAAAGGTAGCCACACGTGGGGCAGTGCGAAGGTGTGTGGGAGATAGCCCACTTTGCAGAGGCCTCTGACTCACATGTATTCTCTTTGGCAGTTCCGGGTGCTTTTTGCCAACCTGGTGGCTCTGTTCTGGTACGCCTACCTGGCCTCTCTGGGCAAGTGAAATGGCCCGGGGAACACACCTGAGTATCTACGGACAAAGAGCTGGGAGGCACCCTAACCATCTAGTGTTTGAGAGCAGAAGCCAGTGTCAGCAATTTATCTGGTTTGAAATCTTATGGCCTTAGATGCCTTACAATGATGGATAGAGAAACAGAAATCCCTTCATGTTGGAATCACGTGTCTAACAAGATAACAGCTGGTGCTAAATGGTTGCTGCCCTTGAAATGGAAACTAAAATCAGTGATTTCAGTAACCACCTTGACCTGAAACAGACTCACAATAAACTGTAATGCAGCATCTTCTCTGGGTGATTTTCATTTTTCGGAATGGTGGTTGTAACTTTGGAAGAAATGTGTGGTCAGAGGGCTGCTCTCAAACTTAAAAAAAAAAAAAAAAAATTACTTTTCATTTCAAAATATATGGGGATGGGGTGGGGTTAGTTCATGAAAGGAAGGTGTTTAAACGCAATAGAAAAGTAACCAACTCTAACTTGCCACATGGCATGGAGGATTGGGATATGGGAGAGATTTTAGATTGTTCCTGCGCTCAACCATAGCACTAACAAACACCTGCTACAGTTTCCTTTGTGGCAGGCTGGATCCTGAAAGCACCATACCAGTTAGCTTTATTTACACAGCAAACCTGTGGGTAGGTGTTTTTGTTTTTCCATTTCACAGATGGGGAAACTGAGGCAAGACCCCATTGAAAGGGAGAAATGGATCTAGGATCACACACAATCAATCCAGTTCCCAAGCTAACATCTTCCCCACCTTACTGTACCTTATCAGATGGTTCTCAGAGGGCTCTGTGGAGGCATGCCTATTCCTGACCTGTCAGCCTGTCACTCACCTCATTAGGCCAGCACACGTTAACTGAAGTACTGCCGGGCCAGGACAGAGGGACAGGGAAACAGCCCAGAGTGGGGAGGACAGTGGGAGAGCAGTCCGTCCCCAGTGGTGTGTGTGGGAAGGGAGCCTGGCGGAGAATCCTATTATCCTGTCTCCTCTGAACAGAAGATGAGGCAAAGGTGCCAGACAGTGGCAACTTTCACTTGGGATACTGAGGATCAAGTTTCTTAGAGAAACAAAAGGCAATGAGCAGGATTTCTAAACGAAGGGCTTGGAGCGGAGGATTGAGAGCTACTATACATTCTTGTTCAGACGACAGCTGTCGTTTTCCTTTGAAAAGATGTATAAGCCTCTTGTTCTTTCAAGTAGAATCCTGATCCCAGTCTGTTAGCCTCTTACCAAACTCATGGGGTTCGCTGTCTGTTCTCTAGTTAACACTAACCAGGGGTTG